GTTGTTGTTGTTGTTGTTGTTGTTGTTGTTATTATTAATGCTGCTGCTCTGCTGTTTTTTTCGGTCACTTTGCGTGTTCGTTGATACTTCCCATAAATCAGGAATGTAAGATTAAAAAATTCAATTTTTTTCAAAGAAGTTCAAAATTTTCACGAAATATCTACGCATATTTATATTTAGAAAAATTAACATTAGAAGAATTTTGCTGCTGCAAACTCTATAAACTTGGCGATTCAACAAAAAAATTCGTAGCTCACAAGTTTTTGAATTTTTCCCATTTGTTTATTTTTGTAAAAAAGAAAAGGAAGGAAGAAATGAAAAAGAACTTTGCAAGAATTTTTAAAGATTCGTCAGATCGTTACTGATAAATTCCTAAAAAAAATAAATGTGGAAGAAAAGCTGTCATCAAAACTAAAAACTACTTAAGATGAGACTTACTTGTCAACTACAGTGAATCATTAATTCAGGTTTCCGTTCGTATTTCTGGGAAATTTTACAGCTACTCCTAATGCATCTTTCCTGTCGCTTAAAAATAAAGCAAAAAAAAATTTTTTTAGGTAATAGTCAACAGCAGGATCTGTTAAAGATTTTCTAGAATACCTTCTAGAATACTGCATCATAATAATATTTATCTGAAAAATTGTAACCGAGTTAAAGTGGAGCAAGTTACTTTTAGTAAAGCTGAAAAGCAAAAAAATTACAAAAGCAAATAAACTTAAACACCAACGAATCAAATATTTTAAAAATAGCAGCCAAAGAAGATACATTAAAAACATAATTCATATGGTGCCAACAATAAAAATATTTTTATTCTTAAGTTTTTTTTCTTCTTTGAAACTTTGTGTAAACAATTAAAGCTCTTTTTTTTTGATAACTATTTAACAACATTAACAGAAATACTACAACACTTATCGCTTTCTGTGGAGGGGGAAAAAATAGATTAAGAACAACAGTGGATAGGATAAAAAGAATAATAAAAAAAGAGAGCAAAAGAATTCCTCTTATTTTCGATAACTTTCTTTCACTACCAATTTTCATTAATCTGTTCCAACAGAAGTTGACAGAATAGAGGAAAACTGAAATTAATTAACTACTTTTATTGGCACACCTGTTGGATTTAAAGAGACAACAAAATATCATCATCATCTTCATTATCAGCAGCAGCGTCAGCGGCAGCAACAACAAGCAACAGCATTGATGTTCATATTCCTTAGATATAACACTTTTTGAGAACCTCAAAAATTCACTTAAAACCTTCTCATTTTTTTTCCTTTTTTTTTATTTTGATTGAGTACTAAACAAGATTTATCTTTGTACATTAAAAATGCCATCGCCCAGTAACAACACAGCGTCAGCTAACAGCAGTTAGCAACAGAATCGACGGCTACTACAAAACAAATTCACAAATTTAACCCAAACTGTTGCTGTTATTCTCGAAAACAAATGT